CAACTTCTCCTGTCCTGTGCTGAGCAAGTGGCAGCAGGCCACTTGCTCAGCACAACGGCAATTCAGCAAATGCCTAGCATTTTTTTCAATGAACACGAGGCATTCTCTGATTAGACTTGGGGTTCTCATGTGAAGGATGCGGCTACTTCAAGCGTATTTCCACTTTCGCAGCCAAATTGGCAATACACCTATTTTATATTTGTTACATGTTGACATGCAAATTGCATAAGCTAAACAAAATATTTATAAATGTGTCTTGCAGTTTAAATTGCTTTTACTTGGGTTAGGGCTTCTTGAGGACTAAAAATTCTGTAATCTGTTTGTTTGTAAATGAAGTTAATGAGAGAAACAAAATCCTCCAATTTCCGTCTTAAGTCTCTCTATAAGAACAGATCGATATGAAGGTGCTCAAAACCCCCTTGATTCAGCCATGTTGCCTGCTGCAACAAAACAGCTACAAGGTCAAAAAAAATGTTTTACAATATTTTTCGTTATAGCTGGAGTTCAACTTTAAAGGCTAAGTTTACCTTTCTGGCCATGTTTACTGTTACACCCATATTCAGGGTGCAACCCCACCACCCCCCACTTACCTGAATTGCGGGGTTCGCCTCCCCGTAAGCTGCTGTGATTTTTTTTGTTAAATGTAGCAGCTGTGGTAATTTACGTCATCTATTCAGAGATTCTTTCACAGTCCCATCAGCCACTGTGACAAAGGACCTTATAGTTCTCAATGGAATACAAGTGCAGTGATGTCACAGCAGGTGTAGTCAATTTATTCTTCCTCCCGTCTATGTTACTGAATGTCTGTGCCTCGTTATAGACACGGATGGGAGGGAGAATCTGCAGGAGCCAGACCATTGCACTTGCAATCCACTGATCACGGTTGCAATGCCTTACTGGCTCCAATGCAAAAAACAAAAATGCAAATTTTTCCTTTTATGAAGATGTGTGCATTTATTTATTAATTTTTTTCAAAAACGATGTATGTAGCTTTTCGACTGAATTTCTGCTTTGAGGATGTTAGTTCAGCAGACTCAAAATTAGTTCATGAAACTCCCTATACCAAATTCAAGTATATACACCATCCCAGCAGAGGATACTTTCTCAGGCATAATAGCAAAAAGAAAAAAAAAAAACTTCTAGAAAGGCTGAGCTGCGTGCTTTTGATAGATAATCACAGCCCATTCCACTTTCATTTAATACCATGATGAATAACCTTGTTAAATTACTACAAAAAAAGTCTGAAATTAATAAAACTATAATATGTCCGCTCAGTACTTTTGCCTGGAGTTTGCATTTGTTGTTTGCAAAGTAGCACACTATATAATGAGATTTGTAATGCCCAAGACAAAAAGCCGAACAGGCTTAATCAAAATTCGGTTAACTCTTCAGAACAAAATTTCTCTAGCCCTCATCAAATTCATATTGCTTTCTCCTGTGGTTCTTTCGATTCTGCTAGTCTATGTCTGGAATATCAACACAGACTTTCGCCAAAAAATCAATTGATAGCAGTTCTTCGCTTGATGCTGGGGAAAAAGCTTCAAATTAAAATAGCTTTACCCTTCGCCAAAGGGTTAGCAATTCTGACAAAAAGAAAGGGTATACAGAAATCTATTCAAAATGTCCACAAGTAATAGTCAATGAAAACTATTTCAACAAGGATACATTATTTTTGTTCCATATAGACCACAACCTGCTCTATTACTAATTAATGCTGAAAACATTACTCCATATCACTCTTGTTTTTTTACAGGGTTTATAAAAAAGGAGTTGATATTTAAGTGCATTTAAACCTAAATGCAAAAAAGTACAGCTTAGCAATGCTTAAATGTGGTGGCTGCATTAGTTTTTTTTTAGGCTTTATTCTTTTATTGTCACCTGGTCATCTGGCCAATAAGTTTGTAATTGTTCAACTTCCTTTAACAGGCCAAGCTGTCTAGCAAAAGTGGCATATAAGAGTGTTGAGATAAACCATTTAACACTAACGAGGGGGTTTACAATGGACAGCTTTTATTAAATTTATATAAAACCTTTATCCCAAAAAGAAAAACAGAAAACATTTTCGGTAACTACTAGAAAGTGTTAGCTGAAGTTTGGCTTTAATTTGTTCAAGTCAAGTCCATCTAAATCTGCTAGTTCATCTAGCACTACCCTCTCCAAAGCGGGACAAAGCTGCTGTACAAAGGTGGCTCCGTAGTTCCTTCATTGAGTGGAGCTACCTGAAGAAAGGAAGTGTGTTACTGGATGGATAACTAGGTGAAAATAAAGGGGGGGGAAAGCCTAAAAAAGAAAAGTGATGAAGTCGCCACATCTAGGGATTGTTAAGCTGCAATATATTACATTTTAATTTTTGAGTTTATGTACCTTATTGGCTTAAAGGTATTTCCCTTATTCCAACTGGGTGTTTGACGAAAACAAATGTTCCAAGGGCTAGTAAACAATTAGCAGGAGTTGAGAAAGCTGGTTGGATGACCAGTGACATGTCTTCAAGAAAAATACAGCAAGTCCAGTTGCCTTGACTTATTTTTTACAGATATACCATGACCTGACCATGGATGAATGAGAACCTTCACAGACTTACTGAATAGTGTTCAGTTCTAACTAACTGAGAATGCATGGAACTGATCTGCAGCTGCTAAATTGGATACTGTCCAGCACACACTGGACAACATGGTATCCAAGCTCAAGCCATCACAGTCCTGATACATGTTCTCCCTTAGTAAGAGCTGATGCAGGGGATATGTGTATGAGCCCCTGAAATGCATTGGCTATTTCTATACTGCCCCCCTCAACCCTACATCATATAAAGATGTATTTCTACTATTTAACGGAGTGTGGTTCAATTCACAATCTTGTAAATTGACACTACAAACCAAGGAGACAGTGGAGATCCTCTGGAATGTAGAAGCTGCCTGTCCAATAGTCAGATCACATATACTGACTTTTTCCCATTCTAGTTGGCCAGCCACACCAATAAGATAAACCTTGAGAGTCCAATGCTTTTCAATTCTAACAGACTGACACTGTAGTAATTCAACAGATACAAAGGCTGGTGGATCAGAAGTGGTTTTTACTCTTGACATACATCTTCCCTACAATGTCACTAAAAGGTTGTCATTAATTCAAATCAATATTTTTCATTTGCAGGGCTATTCACTAAAGGGTGAAGAGATTGGAGAAGGCAGGAGAAGTGAACAATCTAGGACAACATAGCTGAACTGGAAAATGAGCTGAATTGGAGAATTTTTCCAAATCAGCTATTTTGTCCTAGATTGTTCGCTTCTCCTGCCTTCTCCAAACTCTTCACCCTTTTGTGAATAACCCTGATAATGTTACTATAGTATAGTGTTAATGTTGCAATCAATTTGGGGATGATACAATTAAAGTAATATACTTTGCATAAAATCATTTTTTTTTAAACAGTCCACTCTCCTTAGACCCCTAACCTAATCTAATGTCAACCCCTCCCCCCGACTAGGCGCTTACTTACCTATCAGTGATGGCACCACCCCTTGCCCCAAAGTCCTCTCCAGCACTGCCTGCAGTAACTCTCTATAAATGTGAATGGGGCCATATTTCTACTGTAACAGGGATGATTTTGGGACAGGATGTACAAACCATAGGAGGAAGCCACAGTCACAAAGAGGTAACTAAGCATGTGGGTTGGGTTCTAGGTTAGATTAGGTAAGGGGTCAACGGAGGGTGGTCTGGGAGGAGATTTGCTAAATGTAGTTGTCATTTAAGGAGTAGAGAATGGTAGGGTTACTTAACTTAGTAAAAACAAAAAAAAACCTGTGTTTACTCAATGATGTGCATTGATTTACAGTGACGTGATTGATTTACAGAAGTTTACTACTGGATTAAATGATACCTGCATTATTATCCAAGTCAGAGGTTATGAAACATACAATGATTACAGCAAGTTCCTAATGTTTATCTTGTATATTTTATGTGGAGTAAGCCATACGCAGGTCCAAGTCCTTTGATGACATACAATGGCTCCAGAACTCATCATTTGCCTGCTCCTAGTCTCCAGCTAGCAAGGAGAGTGATGGGCTTTATAACATGTTTTCTTTTACTCCCTGTAAGACAATCAGACAGAGAGCCAGACCCCAGAATCTTCTTTTGTCAGTAGGAATTATAGCCCGAGTCAACATCTTGCTTCTGCATGGGCAATGCATTAGTAATTACATATAATGCAGTTTCACTTGGCCATTTCCCTTAGGTAGCATAGGTAACCTGCTGGTAACGGATTTAAAACCATCTATATATTTAGTTTAAAAAAAATCTGGCCACACTCAGTTCCATGATGAATCAGTTTACTGAAAGTTCATCAGTGAGTCCTGCCCGAAGTCCACCACCTCTGACATGTTTCACCCAGGGCTTAGTCATAGAGACCAGTATTGGGTAAAACATGTCAAAGGGGGCGGACCTCGGGCAGGACTCAGTGTCACTGACAGACTTTGAATAAACTGATTCAACATAGAACAGAGTGCGGCCGCATTTTTCCTTTACTATGAAGCTGTTTGGTTGGAGCGAGGACACACTCTAGCTGGTGAGCACCTGGCCGTCTTTACCCAGCTAAAGCTATGGAGGATCGGTGCTTTATTTCTATGCTTTGGTGCATCAGTATATTTAGATATGCAGCACATAGATATGCAAAACACATTCCAGGAGGATCATTATAATGTCTATGTAATTCACTTACAATGTTTATCTTGGCTTAAAAAATATGCAATATAATAGCTTTTCACACAAAAGATAATGAAATTATTTACTAAAGGAGTAGTCTGTTTACATAGTAGAGAGGATGTTCACTTTGCAAAATGAATATTAGTAAATAAGGTGAACCTTTTTAGAACACTCATTTATGTGTGGGGGAAATAATGAAAATAAAAATGACTGGGTATTCAAAGTGAACACTTTGCTAAGTGAATAGTCTCTACTCCTTTAAAAAGTCAACCTCACTAAGTATTTAAAGCCAGGCTGCTGACACTTACCTTGCTGAAGTCATACTGTTGTTGCACAGTGGGAACATCTCCACCAACAGGCATTTGCTTTTTTAGCTCTTCATCTCTGACATCTAACCAACCAATCAGTTCTTCCAAGGATTTTAGCAAGCGATTCCATTTATCAGCACTCGCCTCCAAGTGTGTTCTGCAGAGACACATATCAAAAATAGAAATCAGGTGTTTGTAGAAGGGCCCAGGTTTACAACAACCACCAGACTTAGAGAAGAATAAAGAAGAAGTCCTTTAGATTGTAAGCCCTCAGGGGCAGGGCCCTCCCTACCATCTTGTCTTGAACTGTATTGTGATTGTAATGTCTTCCTTATATTGTAAAGCCCTGTGCAAACTGTTGGCGCTATATAAATCCTGTATAATAATAATGTCACCAGCACTCAGTAATATGTCACCTTGAGGAAAGGACCCTGTGTGGCCCAAAACGTTGGCTCATCTGACTGATGTGACGCATTATCAATAAACAAGAATATTTGTGCACAATTAAGTACTGGGGCTGGTGACTTCTCCTTTGTTCTTCTGTGGACCTACACAGCGCCATCTGTGGTTGTCACTATAAGCACCACCATATCTACTTGTAGTGTAGCACTTTAAGGAGTGCAAATGGTATCTACATCTTTACACCAGTCTCAGAGGTCTAGAAAAGTCTGCCTTACACTTTAAAGACCAGTACAGTAACATAAACTAAAGAACTATAATATCACAGTATGTCTAGAGGACCCATCATATATAAAAAGAAAATACAAATAAGTTACTTCAATTTCTGTACATTCATGGCTACATATAGCAAAAACACATTGTTCCATGGGTACACAGAGCATACACACTTTTGAATAAGGGGTATCCAAACATTGGACCTCCAAATCTTGTGCAACTACAAGTCCCATAAGGTCTTGCAAGACTACAAAAGCCACATGCATGACTTTCAGAGGCACCTGCATCATGAGATTTGTAGTTTCACCACAGCTACAGGGTGAAGCTTGGCTATCCTTGGTTTTATATCATACATTGAAGCCAACAAACAGTAAAATAAAGGCTCCACATATCAAATTTCATAAATTAGGTCAGGTCAAACATTCTGCTAGTGTCATTTTTAATGTGTTTTGTTCATCATTTCTGTACTCCTCTACAGTATCCAAAAACTGCCATGGTGGACCCAGACTGCTCTGCTTGAATTAGCCAACAGCTGTTGGCCATGTAAGCATCTTCTAATATGGTAAAGTGGGTGAAGGAGGACTACTGGTTACTAACAACAACAAAAAATAGAAACTCTAGTTTATGTCTGTGTACCAGACTGTAATGAATTCTGCAATTTCCATATAATAAAAAATTGGGTCATCATTGACAACTGAGAATTTTTAAACCTATCTCAGTTCAAGTAAACTGATCCAAAAGCTAGCCATGCATGTATAGATTTTCTCTTGTTAGTCCACAGTCAGTCCCTAAACAGCGAGGATGAAGAAACCCCCACACCCAGATATTGCTTCCTGAATAACCAAACAGTGACTGCATATGATAGGATGCAGTCACTGCTTGGCCAATAATTTTTGGTACTGACAGGAATCAGTTGGCATCAGCCGAAATGCGATAATCGAAGAAAAATGTCACCAGCACACCAAAAATCCTTAAAAGGATCACAAAGTGTTCATTTATTCAGAATCATGTCAAGAAAAACAAGCGCTTTCCAGGCCGCACAGGGTCACTTTATCAGGCTTGGCATTGACAGAGTGCATATACCAAAGTGAACTTTAAATAAATAGACATACAAATGCAAAGTACAACCCCTGACGTCATTGTGACGTCATAAACCTGCCAAAACCGCTGTAAACAAATATCAGATCTAATCAATCATGAAAAAAGCATTCACATATTGATACAAATATTCATGGCAATCAGGCATCAATAACAACATAACAATATCAGAGCAAGCAAATGTGGGGAAAGGCATATGCTGTTGACAAATGGGTGAAGAACAGTGTCAAATCTGGCTGCAGTGTTGCCACAGAGACTGGACGCCACCATCCAGCCCTGTCGGAACAAGTGGGTAACACCCCCTGGGAAACATGGAACCATGCTGTGTAAGCGGCCAGTAGCTGGGGAGGAGCCTGGCATGGCATCAGCGCCTGCGCATAGCGTGGTCCAAGAATCATCACGGTTGGAAAGCAATGCCATACTGCGTTCAAGTTTCAGCCCCTGACAGGCCAGTCTCTTAGCAACTGAACGCCGTAGCCTGGCACACTCTCCCCATATGCAGCCAGCATCGCTCATGGCACATGACAACTAGTGGCGCTGTGGATTGCAAAATGTGGATAACCTACTATATTTTAACAACAATGCATCCAATAGAACAAGTTACTAATTCGTATTAAGCCATATTCACATGTTAGATAATGACAAATAGCATCCTGTAAAACAGGAGCTGTAGCATGTGGACACAGGCTGATAACTCATCATTCCAATGAATCATCACAACATTTAGGAGCAGTTGATTATAACATACAGTACCTACAATTCTAATATTGGAAATAAACCTGATGTTATGGTATTCATAAAACACACAAAGTTAAAAAATAAATGTGTTCAGTAAAACTATACTGACGGGTGGTCTTTAGAGAAACATGACAACACAGGGATCATTAGTAAACAAAATTCAGGACGGTGGTCATAGATATTGTGTTGGACAGAACAAGCAGGAGTCTAGGTTGTTAACCCCACACATAATTAAACTAGCTAACAAAATTGAGAGAGCTGACCAGCATACTAAGATCAAGTCATTCCATACCATGTGGTAAATCCATGGTCATAAGGAGAAAAACTTAATAAAATGGAGTTTGGATAAATACTACGGGCTTGGGGGGGTTTGAGGGGGGTAAACATGGACTCTGACTAATGTCACGGGGTTGCTTAAGACTATATAAGAAAAGGAGGACTAACAGCATAAACCCCAAACAAAGGGGCTTAAGGGGAAATTTTGAAAGATTAAACTCCCAGAGGTGTCACTGTGTAACACACCAGCGATTCACTGTGAAGTCATATTTGAAGATGACAGCAATTACCAATGAACACAACCTATGGCACAGTATGTTGATTATTTTCTTCAACATCTTGTTAAGAAATTACTAGAAAAATTACCGACAGGGCTGGACAGGGGCGTCCAGTCTCTATGTCAACACGGCAGCCGGATTTGACACTGTTCTTCATCCATTCGGTAACAGCATATGCCTTATTTGCTTGCTCTGATGCTGTTATGTTATTACTTGATGCCTGATTGCCATGAACAGTTGTATCAATATGTGAATGCTTTCTTCTCTAGATCTGACATTTGTTTACAGCGGCTTTGGCGGGTTTATGACATCACAATGATGTCATGGAGTGGTCCAGTGGTTGTACTTTGCATCTGTATGTTAAAGTCAAAGTTCACGTTGGTATATGCACTGCATATGTCAATGCTAAGCCGGATTAAAGGGACCTTGTGCGGCCCCGAAAGCGCTTGTTTTTCTTGACATGGTTCTGAATAAATGAACACTTGGTGATCCTTCAAGGGTTTTTGGTGTGCTGGTGACATCCTTCATACGATTAGTGCAATTGGCGGCACCCTCCACGGTCACTACAAGCATCCTTCCCTGAGTATTGGGGCATCTGGTAAGGGGTGCGGCCAGGTATCTGTATACAGCCCAAATGCAAGTCAGGTATACCCAGCTTAAAGTGTATTTGCACTATTGCAGCCAAATTTGCATAACACCTAATTTATATTTGTTCCATGTTCCTATTCATATAACGGAAACAATATATACAAAATTGCAGCTTACATTTTTTTCCAGAAACTCCAGGACTGAAAAATCATGATTAGTTCTTATTGTTTAAGGGGCTTGGGGAGTTTTGTTTGAGGTAATTAACCCTGTTTGTACTGTGCTGGCAGATTTCATTAATACTAAACTAAATGAGCAGGACTGTTAGGGCCTGTTCCCACCATATGCAGTGCGTTCCGGCGACGTTCTGGCTGGAATGCACTGCATCGCATTGCAGATGGCTCAGTATTTCGTGGGGCCGGAGTGGGCGTGGCTGGCCGTTGAAGTGCATGGCGCCGTAGCCGCGCCCTCCGGCCGCAATGCGATCGCCCGCAGGGGATCACAAGGCACATTGTGCCTGCGGTCCGGTCAAAATAGTGCATGTAGCATTTTGACGGCACCGGATGGGGCGATCGCATTGCGGCCGGAGGCCGTGGCTACGGTGCCGCTCACCTCAATGGCCAGCCACGCCCCCACGAAATACTGAGCCGGCCGCAATGCGATGCCGTGTATTCCGCCCAAAACAGGGCCGGAAGGCACTGCATGTGGTGTGAACAGGCCCTTAGGGTTATCTCAAGGCTTACATGATACATTGTATATTAATGCCCTCGAAAAAAACAAAATGTCCGTCAGTTTGACCTTTATCTGCTCACTGCCATCTCTTGTAACCACAAGAAGCTGCCTATATTTAAATATATATTTTTAGATATGCTGTGTGAATAGGAACACATAACAAACATATAGTGGGGGTTTCTCAAATCTGACTGCAAAAGTGGAAATATACTTTAAGAGAAGACATCATTAATGTTTTGGACTTCTTTGGTGTTGTCATTTTTCCTCTTGTGCTATTTAGAAAACTATACACTACAATTTGTGCATGGTACATAAATACAATTTTATCTTTAGTATAGGGAAGAAATTGCACTGTTTTTAGCTTACTGCAGTCTTGCAAAGATCCCCAGATTATATATATCTAACCAAGAACGTTGTACTTGTTCTATTCCATGAAATCTAATTCATGGTAACTGATATACAGAGGTATAACCCTCATTAACTATACCAATACTGTTCTACAGCAGAAAGATCTGTGGAAGAATCTGTTTAACTTCTTGATGCCAATATAATGTAAAAAACATATACAGTATTTCTGTACTAAATAGCATTAAAGCTACATAAAGTCAAAGCCTATTTAGTTTTAGATATTGCTGGAGGAAGATAACAATTCACAGAATGACAGTTATGGGACACCAGTTGGATGGATGCTATACATTGAAATACGTCCATGTACATTATACACATCTGACTAGGGATCATGAACAGTAAGAGCTATCCCTTTTTTGCCACGTATCGGAAAAGAACAATGTTCTTCTGTTTTTCCAACAAAAGTGAGAGAAGAAATACCCAGTACATAACATGGTGACTTACAATACATAAAGGATATGAATTGAGGACTTCCAACATAATTATTATATTTAGCGTAACAGAATGCAGTTAGGTAAAGTGGTTAAAATGTGATAATTGTAAATCAGGATACTTAAAAAATTAACTCTTTCATCGTAAAATAACAGTGGCCTGCATTGTCATGGTTTTACCAGAGTAACAGCTCTTCTTGCCATTATTTGTGCATCACTATGTAATAATGGACACTGGTTACTGCTAAAGTCTCGGTGAACTTTACAAAATATGTTTTATCACACATTCAAAACTGCCCTCAGCACTTTACCTCTCAGAATGAAAGCTGTCAAGAGAGCCTTTGAACACATGGATTTTTTGGCTTTAAAAGCTTCTCACTTTATGTATGAAAGAATTATAAATATTGATCCAATAAAAGGCATATAGCCAAGCTGAAAGGCCCTATGTGTTGCTATTTCTGTCTGGTAACAGGAATTTCAGTTTGTATAATGCAAGTTACAGCAGTCAATTTAACCATCTCTTTGCACTCCAGACTGACAAATACATGGCTCTGCAAGCATACTCAGACTCAGTAATCACACTTGTGTTAAGATGCCAGTATCATTTCTTTTGAAGGGGAAATTAACTAAAGGTCATAAAAGCTTTAAAAAAAGATTGAGAGGGATCTGGTATACTTGTTTCTATCTTATAATAAAAATGATATCCCTTTTATACTGGCCTTATTTATAACCCCTTACCTTCAAATATGTTACGCTGACCATATGCCAGTAGAATCTTATTGGAAAATGTAAATTTTTGAAACATTTGCTCACCTTTCTAATGGTTAGTGGGTTGTAATTGGCATTTGTTAGTGACTGTGGAGACGAGGAAAATCCATGGGCCAGGGTGGTAAATTTTTCTTATCTGAAACAAGGAAATTCTAACCAAATTTTAAATGTGATTTACCGTACATATTGTAATGAGCGTGTGCTAGGCACAAACAAGACCTGTTTTATATATCTGGATTCCATTCACGTATGGATGACATTTTGAAGAGGTTTGATTTGAAAATAGTTTACTCAATGATGGCAACAATGAATGCTCTGATGAAGGATTTTGTACTAAGTTTTGAATGAAATTTGATTGTTGTATAGCCAGCTTTAGTTCTGACTACAACTGTTATTCCTTGCCTCAGATCTCTGGCATTGTATGTGCAGAAGATTTTAGTTCATTAGGAAACCCTGTTTGGTGCCATCTGGTGCAATTTGACTGGTCCAGTCAGACAAGCTAGCCCTTCAAGAATGCAGTACCAAGCTTATGCCTCTCAATTACAGCCATTTCATAACATTTTGTTTTAGGTGTGGTGTGTTTTAGATGTGTCTTACACTAGAGGTGTAACTACAAATCATGGGGCCCCGTAGCAAACCTTTGGGGTCCCCCAGCTAACTCTCTCTGTAGTGGCTGGCAGTGCCAACTGTGACAAAATATGACATTGATCTTAACATGAAGTATGCATCTAGTATAGACAGCAGGAGAGCTGTCTTAATAGTTAGTACACTATTAGGGGGCAGTGAGGAGGGTAAAAGCTATAGTACTACTACTACTAATAATAATAATAATAATAAACATTATATGGATACAATTATTAATGGTCTTGTACAGTACATAGTTACTCGTTAACCAGAATATTGTCAGTCATTTATGAACAGAACCTGAAAACTAGCTCAGTCATGAAGGGGTTAAACTCTAGCTTCATTAAACTTTTTTTGTAGAATCACACACTTCAGTCCTTCTATAAGGTTTTATCAGAGGTCTGGGATTTGTGACTGCATCAGGAATATGGGATTCATTTCAGTGTCTAGCAGAGGTTCAGAGGGCAATGCTATGGCTATGGCAATGCTATGGCTATTTTTACGCCACTGTCTTACACATTTTTATATATGCTTTTTACATGTGCTACTATTAACTAGTGTCTCCAGCAGTGGCCAGGGCTTCTGTTAACAGAAGATCTGGAATTTGACAGTTGCATTACAGGGGTGGAGCTTAATGCCAACTTGGACAGAAGTCGGGACTAATGTAAATCCTGGACCTGAAATCCCATGGAACCATAGGGATCAATTTAAAGGATAACACATGACGGTTACCTACAAAATGTTTTAGAATCACTTTAAAAACCTTGTTTCTATGTGCAGTTTGCAATTATTAATCTCTTTTGCAACCGATAAGGCCTGTCTGACCGAGAACAATAGATTCTCTTTGGAGTCTCTGCTATCAAACAAGCACATGCACCTACTAGCCAGAGATCATATCCTCCTTGCCTAGATTTCAAGCGACAAGATGGCAGCATTTTAATTAGCATAAAAGAGGTATTTTGTGACCCAAAAATATGTTATTTGGTATTGGTAATCTGGCCCTAGGTGAATTTAGAATTTTAATGATAGGTCCATTTTATTATCTAAACCTAAGAACAAAAATGTAATATATTGTAGTTTACCAGTTCATAGATGTAAATGCTGCATAAGTCTCTTTTTGTAGCCAAAAACATTTTTGGAAATATATAAAAAAATAACTGTTTATATTGTCAGAATTTCAATGTAATAACATTCTGTGCACTGAACTAATATATCATGCAATGTTATCAGTTTTCCCAGCTACATTTTGTGAACTACAAAAGAACACATCCCTATGTAATAGAGATGAGGAGTGGATGAGAAGTAAAAAGCCCAGTGAAGCGAGTGAATGTAGCCACCTTAGGAAAGGAAGTGCGTTATTCTCAAGATCACCAGGTGAATATAAAGAAACAAAAGCCTGAAAAAAGGCAAACTAATGCAACCACCACATCAAAGGACTAATAATCTGCAATGTATTACATTTTGGGTTTAGGTACACTTTAAACAAAAACTTATTTTGCCTTTACCTGATATTGGATGACTTGGACTTCAGATCATTCCAGCGCTGATTCATATCATCTAGTCTATGCTGAAGTAATGCTGCTTCCTCTGAATTTCCCAAAGCTTTCACCATCTTTTGTCTGTTCCCATCAATGCTTTTGAAAATGTCATTATGGGCATCTATTTCCGCTTGAATATCCTGAAACACAATTGACAGGCATTTTAGTATTTCAATTTACAGTACACTGAAGCAATAAAAATGTTCTGTTCTGCTAATTCACTGTACCAGCAAACTCAGGCAGATACATTCATGACAGGTACATTGCATGAAGAACTAATATTGCAATTTTATTTGATAAAACTGACAGACAGTGTCAACGCATGATATATTGAAATACTAGGATGAATATTATTTGTAAGTACAATTACACCACAAATCAGTGCTACATCAACTATCTGGGTTGAGATAGATTTGGCAATGACCTTGGGTTAGGATATCCCAGTACAACTTTGGCTACTGAATAGTCTTACTGCTAATCTGCAGAATATTATAGTGTTTTCATTTGCTCCTTATTGAAAACCAAAAAAAAAAGTAAACTCATTAAGAAACCATACAACTGCAAGGATGGCTTGATGGGCTCTAACTTCCCAAAGGGTCAATAACAACCAGTGTTGCAGTGAGATTAATTTTAGGAAATTACCAAGTCAGCTAGATCTGACCTGCCAAAGATAATAATGGTGGAGTACTGTGGTGGGTCCCAGAAACACATTTGAGAATAGGTAGGTACAGTATCTCCTCACCAATTGTTCTTGCAGAGCTATCAGCCCATTCGTAAACAGACTATAAAACAGCAAATGTACTGAAAGTAAGTCCTTTCTAATTTGTGTGTAAGGCAGGTAAGGCTGGTGAGAAAATGAAGCCAGGACTCACAATCAACATTCAGACTGCAAGTGACATATAGGGGGTGATTTACTAACCTAAACACACGCACGCACCAGGTGCGTGTGATTTTCACACAGCAAAACGTATTTATCAACCAAAAAGTCTCCAAAAGCATATTTCCACTAATGCCATATATGGAAAAAGCATGCACATGATGCATATATAATGCTGCTTCACAGTTTAGACAAAAATGGTTAGCTCATGCATTTACATTCCTGCATTCATCAACGCAAGTAACACAACATAGAGCTAATTTACACAATATCACCTTGCAATTCATGCAAGGCTTTGCACAACACACCTGCTGGGTGTGTACACACTACAAAGGTGTTTAGATTCCACCCATAGATCATGCTGGGAGGGAACACACTACAGAGGTGTATATATGTTCGTGGTGTGTTTATAAGGTTAGTAAATCAACCCCATACTGTTGATAGTAGAAGTAATTGCTTTGTTACATTGGACATAGCGTTTATATCGACGGGTATGTACTGTTCTGGTTTTTGGACATGTTTATTGCCAACTTGAAATGGACTGTTGAAACTGAAATAAAAGACTGAAATGACATTTCCTTTAATTCATATATGTTGCAGTATAGTGTTGGTCTGTGGTGTAGAACTGCAAATGGTGTGGACCATATTGTTCTGTTTTTAATGTAAAAAAATATAGCATGAGTTGTATTTAATTGTTATGATTACATTGTTGTTTTTGTTTACATAGTTAGTACAAAGCCATATGGATTTTAACTTGGACAAAGCACAGATAAAGTAATAAGGCACTGATAGGCATTTTTACTAGAAATCCTAGGGTGCTTGGCAAACAGTGTCATAGAAACATAAGGGTGTAATTATAAACAATTTGCAAGGGCCATTCGCCCTGCAAAACTCCATGAATGTTCGTTCTGTGCAAATAGACTTCATTCTAAATGAAAATGGATTTATTACATGTAAAACACAGCATTATGGCCACTGGTGTAGCTGCGGAGCATAGAAAATAAATATTTATTCCCTATGCTCCTCTGCTCAATCTAGTGGCCACAATGCGGTATTCCATGACATTCAAAATTACATTCCACTTATAAAGAAAATATTCTAAAAACATGTGTCTTATGCATCCCTTCGCACAGAACAAACATTTACAGAGATCCCATAGAGATACACACCCTGTATTAAATATAATACTACTTAATGTAAAATACCACAATGTAAACTATTGTACAAAGGATGGTTTACAAATGTGCTTACATAAAAAAAAAAAAAAATAGAAATGTGTGATATGTAGTTCAATGTGTACTACTGTTTGGATCTTCGAGAAACGCAATTCCCCAAATGCTTTCTAATTAAAAAAACTTTGCAATCAGTTGTGTTATATTGATCCACATTAAATGTAAACTAACTATGTAACTCTAAAAACATTTCAATGAAAGGAGCAGCTAAATGATTTTTTAACAAATAAATAGCTTTTTAATGACATGCTCTCTAAAAGCATACAAATGCATAATTGTATCTTCTTTTTTTATTCCTCTTTTTTGGCATGAGCTGAAATAGCATTATAGGTCTCAAAACGGTATTGATAGCTAAACATTAAAAACATTCGTTATCTAACAGTGCTGCAGCTGTCGAGTCATGTCAAACAAATCTATATGATGTAATTGGAAGTTTTTCTAAATCATGCGGAACATTTTATTGAAAGTGTGTGTTTAAAACCAAAATCTAGAAATTAACAGGAACTTCACAGGATCAAGCATGTTACCAAAGCATGCATATAAATCACATACATCTGATTAAACTATATGAAAACAAAAGTTGTAGTTGCTATTAGTAACCAAAAATAGCTTTCATCCTCTAACCAACAGGCAAGGACTAAGGGGGTTATTCACAAAGCTGCCAAAGGCAGCCGAGTGAATAACCCAGCCGAAGTGAAACAAACAATGTTCGGCTATTCACTTCTGGCTTGTACGGCTGATTTCAGCCGTACATCGGCTGCCTTCTGCATGTTCGGCTGAGCCAAAGTGCAGAAGGAGTTCGACTCAGCCGATCCAACATCTCAGGGGCCGAACGGCAGTGAGTGAATAGCCGATTGCCGCAGTGAGAACTGACAGAAACGCTGCAATCGCAGCCTTCCTGTCACAGGATTTGCAGCACAGTGCTGTGCTAGAACTCCTAGAGAACCTGTCACCTCCAAATGCTATCACACAGGGGTTTGTTATCCCCTGTGTGATAGCAATAAAGTTAAGTGAAAAAAAGTAAAAAACAAATCAAAGAAAAACTAAAAGTGTAAATAAAAAAGTAAAACATAATAAAAAATGTAAATACATAAAAATTTAAAAAATAAAAAAGGCGATATAGTAAAAATAAATGAAAATTTAAAATTTTACAAAGTAAAAAAAGAATAAAGCAATTAAAACCAACCCTGCTACCCCCACCATCTGCATGCAAATAAATGCATACACAGGGCATTGTGTGTGTGAGCAGAGTGGTGACCCCATCCTACTGTGTGCTATATTGTGGTGGCTGGGCAACATTCTCTAACATGCACAATGTGCATTAAGGCCAGGTTCTGGCGATCTGTGACCACCTGGCAATCAATCCACAAAACCACATGGCTGTCCGGGCGGTCATGGACTCGCACACCACTGCCGATCTTGCTGGCAGTGCCATTATTTTCTAATGGCACCCCAGTCGAGCCAGGCAGATTGTGCAGTTTCCCGCTGCAATACTGCCCGATTGCCCAAGTCTGCACCAGCCCTAAAGAGTAAATTCACTTTCCCAAGTAATTTGGGAAAATAGAATTACCCGCACAAATCTGGCCCCCTTATCCTCCCTGCTATACTTTCCTTTCAGGAAACGGTCCTTCCCATTTGCCAGTACAGGTGTTCTATCTGTACCTGTGCCATGTATTCTGAATTTTGCTCGCAAACTGAAAGCACTTGTAGGTCAGCGCTGTCAACTGATGGCGCTGACCAATTAGAAGCGCTTCTTAGCACTGCTAAATATGGTTTTGGTTAAAATTATGTATTTGTATCAGGACAAGTAGATTGTCATGAGGGACAAGTAGATCAGGCCGCCGCTTTAGTCCTTGGACAAGTAGTTTTTATCTCCACACCCCTGCAACTGCCATATAATCACTGGGTCATGTGGTCTCTCATCAATGACCGTGTTTTCTTCTAGTGTTTTATAACAAACAAAATTGATTTATGCAGAATAATTACTCAGTGGTAGAACCCTTCATGTGTTAAGTAGCACATACTAATCACTGACAATTCCATTCCATTAATTTACTATTACTCCTCATGTGTTTACAAATTCACAAGATATGTTCAAATACTCCAATAAATACTGAAAAAGAACAGTTTGCAGGTTAACACAATTAAGTTGTTGAGAGTTAAATGTGGTAAAATGTATTCTAAAAACTGTAAACTTGAAAAAGCACAACTTTCTTCTTATAATAGTAATGCAATGTTTAAGAATAAAAATACCTTTCTTCATACCATAAATACCGCATACCGAATACCCTCTGAAAAATAAATCTGCCACAATTCCTGACAAAAAGTGAAACTGATAAATACCACATGGCTAAATATTTGCACTATTCACCATGTCAATTACATTTCCATATCAGATTTATTTTCTTTGCTTTGAAGAAGTTGAACATGAAATCCCCTCCTGACTTAACTTCTTGCACTTTGCTAAATACTAGTTCAATCAATCTACCACTCTTTAGACACATTTCCAGGCAGTGGGATGACCTAGTGGTGACATCAAAGCCAAATTACAGGAATTATTATATGTAAACTACATAGTTCCTGGGTATTAGAAACTCTGCGTTTTGCACATATTACTCTTTTCCCCTCTTGCTTCAACATATTTAATTAAAGAACATTTAAAAACAAAAAGCAAAATTGCAATCAAAGCTAACCTAGATTGAAAATTCATGTCCAGCTAAGCAAGGAGACGATAGAGTGACAATCTGTGGATCAAGCAGGAGAAGTTCAGGGTACTAAAAACATCCCTCTCCATGCCCAGTTCATATATTTGCAACTTCAAATGGCAACACATAAGGGATTCCATTGGCTGGGTCTGTTGTGTGATCTCATACAGAAATACTACAGGGCATGCAAGAGAAAATAACAGGATTCAGTCCAAAAAAATGGGAAAGTCAGACAGGTTTCAGTCCAAAAAAATGGGAAAGTCACACAGGAGACTTTCCAAAAAAATGAAATGAAAATGGTTGAAGTTGTTTAATAAGCTTGGGTT